GATAGACTCACTAAGCGAGGCCTACCACCCACACGGAGTATCATTCGAAATATCGCGTCGCAACTAGCTCAGAAGCAGCTCGGATACCACTGGGTTGATCGCTTTGTTCATCGCAACTCGCATCTTGTTATACTTAAGCGCGCCACGCTAATCGATCGTAGCCGGCGCCGAGCTGATTTAGAAAAGAAATACCAGCTCTACTTCGAGCTTCTACGCCAAAAAATTAATCAATATAAAGTGGAGCCGCGACATATGTATAATATAGATGAAAAGGGCTTCATGATTGGAATACAGTCCCGTTCAGTCCGAATCTTTTCTAAAGCTGCTCTCAAGTCCAAATTGAAAAGATCAAATATTCAAGATGGTAATCGCGAATGGATTACGCTGATNGCGTGTATCTGCGCGGATGGATCGTATCTAGATCTAAGCATCATCTACTCCAGCAAATCCAGCTCTATCCAGAACTCATGGCTCCAAGGTTTTGATCCAGATATTCATACTGTGTATATCACTGCATCAGCCACTGGCTGGTCGAACGATAATATCGGTCTCCAATGGCTCAAACAAGTGTTCGATCCAGCCACCAAGCCAAAAGCTCGATCTTCTTACCGATTACTCACCATGGATGGGCACCATAGTCATATAACGATGGATTTCATTGACTATTGTGATCAGAATAAAATACTATTAGCTATCTTCCCGCCGCACTCGACGCATACGCTACAGCCGCTCGATATTGGATTGTTTAAGCCACTATCCACTGCATACTCGAACGAGCTATCAAACTTCACCGATACCAGCCAAGGGCTAATATAATTCACTGGGTCTTATTTTTTTCCAGTATTCTAGAGAGCTAGTTGCGCAGCGTTCAAGAAATCATCAATTCTCCATGCTTTTAGAGCTACTGGACTCTCACTATTCAACCCAGAAGTTATACTCCAGAAATTGAAAACTACAGCTCCTGATAGCGATAGAGACGCATTAGTAGCATCAGCGTCTAATTGGAGAACGACTCGGCAGCTACTCAATCAATCTACAAGCAACAGACCAATCTCAGCACTTAATAGAATCATGATGAGACTATCCGCCGATACAGCGCTCCTTCAACGGGAAAACGAGCAGCTCCGGGCAGCTCCCATCAACGAGAGACAGCGGAAGGAGCGTATCCAGCCTGGTACAATCGAGCTATCCGACGATTATCATAGTGGAGCTACTTTCTGGTCTCCACAGAAGGTACGAGAAGCTCGCCAGCAATATGAGCAGAAACAGCGCGATTATGAGGAGTTACAACACCAAAAAGCTATCGCGATCAAAGCTAGAGAGGAGAGAAAGCTACTTAAAGCTCAAGAACTAGATGCACGGCGACGGGCGCGGGCACAGGCAAAACTAGATCGTGAGAGGCAGAAAGCTGAAGCAGCTGCCCACCGGATATCCCGCCAAGCCGCCCACAAACGACTTCAGAAAGCTATCAAAATCTCACAAATGAGCAAGAAGCCTAGCTCCAAGCGCTCTACTAAGCCAGTATCAAAAAATATTATCATTGGTAGTAGTAGTGGTGGTGCGCAGCGAGCTAATCGATCAGCTGCACCACCATCACCACGCTTACGTTCAGGCCGCCCCATCAAGCTGCCAGTCAAATATCAGTAGACAGATCAAATAAATACTACTACCAGACTACTACACTAGAATTTCTCGCAATAATAGCTTTTATGTGGAGCTCTACAGCTTCAAGTTTGTGATAGTATTGTTGGGGAAAAATCCGGCGTTGGCCCGTCCGGCACCCCTACCGTAGTATCCAAGAAAACAAAATATTCAATTCAATTCCTCTGGTATCAGGCAGCTACGTCGACCAAATCAGCATACATTGTGAACTCATCGTCCTGTAAAAGCATCTCTCGATCTTCAGGGAACGTCCCGATTGATACGTCTACCCCCCCATCTGGCCTCAACGGATAGATGACCATAAATCGAAGGAGTCTGTCCTGTCTCTCTGTTACAGGTCCCATCCTCTCTGGGGAGCCTTTATTGGCAAAGTATCGCTCGCCAAAATTGATTTCGTTCAATGGAAACAACATCATATTTGTGACCATTGTGTGCATGTTGTCCAGTCCCACAGACGCAATGGAAGTTTTGGTGTAGTCTGAGACCACTTGAAGTAAGCTGAAAGCGTCATGTACTAACGAAGGAGTGATACGTGCAGCAGAACTGCGCAAAACTTTTACGATATCTAAGATACTCGTGTGTGTGCTGCAAAGCTTCTCTATCGGCATGCTCGTACGATTAAAGTAGAGCATGACGCCCATGTATGATAATGGCAACAGAGGGGAAAAGTATGGCCGACCATCAGTTGCCGCTTCTAAAATGCAGCATTCGTCCATTCCAAACTCACGACCGTTCTTCTTAGCGACAGCGTAGCGAGCCTTTAACGCTGTTCGCCAGATAAAAGCTTGAACGATATCGCTAGTTGAGGGCATGACGGCCTTCTCCCCCAAACCCCTCCCGATGTGTTCCTTGAGTTTTCGCATCTTTTCAGGAGGAATCGAGAGCGAAGTTCTGTTCAACTTCCTGTCGCCCAACGTTTTCCACTTATTAGGGAATGGGGTCATTCGTTCCGCCGAAAATCGTAATGGCAACGTGCCAGATTGTGTAGGTTGCTTTGCGAGTATATCTTCTGGCGGTGATAACGGTAGAAAATCCCACGCACTTGCATCGATCTCCTCCACCGGACGTGTGTATCCTTCCAGTTCGTGGAGCACCTCTGGAATACTGTGATCGAGGCTCATCGGATCATACCATTCACACAATGCTGAACTGTCTCCTTGTAGATATCTACAGTTCTCTGCCCATGCTTTGGCTGCGATTACAAGACCTGCACCATCGAGGCAGGCGTGATCTACATTCACCGAAATAATGCAACCGCCGTTGATAAAGTTGGCCTGTGTAATAAGTATATCCTTCCCTATGGAACAAAACGCGTCTGGAGTCAACGTTTGCACATCCCCAAGGGCAGATGTTACAAAGCCGCCTTTCCTAAGTGCTTCAAAAGATGGAAGCACGTCACTCAGGTCCTTGTAAACTAGGCGGCTACGAGTTGGATAGTCGAGAGGTGGGACTGCGACGCTGAGTTCTCCATTTTTGTAACCAATTTCGTCCTCTGGGCACCTGATTAACTTGCCTCCCAGGGCTGGCATGAGCTTTAGGGTTCGATCAAGCCCCTTCTGCAAGTTTTCAAACGCTTCCTCGAACGTTACGCCAGCAGCCAGAGGCAAGTAGAACACAAACCACATGTAGGTGCCTGCTGATATGTAGTCGAGAGGATTCAATCGGAAGGATTGATGGGCTCTGCGTTGAATGATCATCTCTTGTATTTTTGATTCTCGACTTTTGATCTGTTTCCTTCCAGCTTTCGCATCTTCCTCTTCAGCTATCATTGACTTAAGCGCGGCGGTAAACTTTCCTAAAGTAGGGTTGGCATAGATATGGCGAGGAGCAAGTTTTTTCAGACCCTTGGTAGCTTCTTGAATCGCTTTAACGGCTGCCGATACTCCAAGTGAATCAAGCCCAAGTGCAAAGAAGTCATCGTCAGGCGAGGCTTCCCACATCGCGGGAAGAGACGAAGCGAAAACCTCTCGGACAGACTGCTGCAGCTTTAGCATAGAGCTAGTGTCGATTTTGAAGGTAATTTCATTGCTCCGAATGCTATATAATCGCTTAATATAATCCTCATAAAGTAATAGGGTATCCTTCCGTTTGATTGTTCTTTTATCGGTACGGACAAAAGGTTTGTCTGGTTGGGCAAAGATAACGTAATCCCTTGAAAACTGCACTGGATATTTCGAAGATGACATGTGTGCCTTGATTGTCGACCATATGCTATCAGTCATCTTGTCAGTCTTCACCGAAGGATCTTTCAGCTCGATAAGAAGGCCTGCATGAGTCTTATGGCTGCCTATAGCTAGACAGCCTTCGATCGCTGGGTGTGTGGATATGAGCGCCTCAATTTCCTGAGGAAAGATCTTGTAGCCAGTAGAGAGAACAACCAGATCATCATTACGACCACCGAATGCCCATAGGTTGGGCTTTGTAGGATGTTTCCGGTATAAGTCTTTGAAGTTGATGGACTCCTTTTCGGGAAATGTGTGAAAGATGCCCTGGAACAGTGATGCGTGCTCGTTGCGGTGTATCCAGTGCTCGAACAGCCCTGGCTCAACTTCCTTGAATTCGAATCCAGAGTAAGGGTGGAAAGCAAACCAGAACCAATCTTCCCTATCTACAACAAGGTTTCCGATAAAAAGGCCCTCAGTAGTGCCAGTGAGGTTTAGAACCCTGATAGCCTCATTGACCTTGCCGGTACTAGAAGGATTGACTGGGCCGCCAGATGCGACAATGAACTTGTTCGGGGGCGACTTGAGCTTTGTTAACACGTCAGGCGCCTCTCCAAGCTCATCGGCAAGCGAAGGAACCAAGCTCCAAATATTGATTCTTGAACAGTCAATGAGTTTGTCAATCAGTGGAATACTTGGAATAACATTCGGCGGCCCGAGGATACAGTGAAGTTCGTAAAGTGCGGGCATGAGAATGTTCATGATAATCCCAGCGCCATGGCACATTGGGAAAGAAGAATAGATCTGGTCGCCTTCTTTCCAATCATGAGACCAAGGCAGCATACCATCAACAGAGGGAAGTAAGCGGATTGCATCCATTGTCCCAATGAGTGCATGTGTCCATGGAATGGGCTTGGGGACGCCAGTGGAACCCGAGGTATGGAGGTAACAGAAAGGTTTGTTGGCAGCTTGCTCGAACGTCTCTGTGTATGGAAATGGCTTAGTATTCTTTGCATCCAAGAGATATTCAAGAAGCGGTATTTGTAACAAATTCATGGTACGTTGCTGTAGGAAATCCTCCACAAGAGGTGCGGCATCTACCTCGCTTGCTTTAGCCCAGATTTTGCATTTAGTTGCGTCTATCACGGCCAAAGCTCCTTTGGTGCTGTTCTTGGGCGATAGGTTGAGTACAGCATAACCAGCCTTGGCGCAAGCATATGTAAGCAACACATGGCGGAGATCATGGGGCCCGATATAGCCAATTGGTTGAACTGTAGATGATGGCCCGATCTTTTTGTAAAGCCACCAAGCTATTTTGTCCACAGCTTCTTTAAAAGCTTTCGCAGAGATGTCTTTAAATTTCAAATCGTTGCCTGAAGTGGTTGTAAGAGAGAAGATAATCCGATCCGGATGGGTTACTGCCAATTGATCCATGATCTGAGGAATGAGTCGTCGACCGTAGGATGGCTCGTCCTGCTCAGTGAATGAAACGACTGGACCCGATCCTGCTGAATTTTCGTTCTCAAAGAAGGAATTAGTTGACGAGTTTCCATGGGATGTGACCAGACTCGAGCCATTTTCTTGTATTGTCGAACGCGGCAGAGAATATCCATTCTGCGTACCGTTGAATAGCTTGCCAGCCTTGAGGTAGCTCGCATTCTCTTCATTAATGCCGGTCATACTCGCTGTTTCCAAATTTTCCATGAAGTAGCTAGGTCTGCCGTTCTCGTACACGAGCTCTAGACGTGGGTCCTGCTCAAATTCTCCTTTGGGGGCGCTGAGCCACTCTCCGTTAGCTAGCTGAGCCACGCTACAGTGCCATGGAGTGGTGTAGCCCGTCCTGGTATTCAAAAGGCTTATTGATAATTTTTGTTCTCCAATGGATTCATGGATTGATAGTCTCAAGTGGTTTGGAAACGCGTTTTTCACCGCTCCAGCGAACGCCTAGAGATGATTAGCTTTATGTACAATCTAAGGCCTAATTCATCGTATTGTTGAGGTACCTACATATCCCCTGATGAGCATCTGCTTCGCGAGGTATTTGACATCTCGTTTGTATTGGTTTCGGCCGGCACTATCCCCGGTATTGAATATGTACCTTAAATCAGATTCTAAGAATTTCCGATATCCAAGATACGTCAACTTGGTGTCTGGATTATCCATGATCTCTCTGTCGATGTCAATACCAAGCCTTCCATGCTTATTCATAAGTAAGCGCCTAAAGTTAGTACAGTTAGCAACATAAGTAATTTCTCGCATCTTTTCGGGCAGTGGGAAGTCAAGTATATCTCTTAAGCGTGCGAAGGCGATGTATGTGAACTTCTTTTCGACAGCCATTTGACGCAAGGCTTCACCGTAGGCCCACGTCTCGCGATCCGATATCGACAATAGATCTGCGATTTTTATCACCATGAGCGCTTGTCGAGTTCAAAGTTCTACTTACCATTGTATATGATTCCATCTGAAATGATTGTTACACTTGCCCCGGGCTTGTAAACTTGCTTTATCCTCACACACATGTTGTTGAGTCGCTCAAGCGCCAGCTCTTCTGCTTTGTCTGGAAGAGACCCAAGCACCTTGTAGACCTTGTTCGCCGACTTGAAGGGGAAGGCGGGTAAACAGGCTTCGATTCGTTCCCCCGTCTGGACGTATTTGTTGATCACTGACGAAAAAAATTGCTTCCCAGCCACTAGCCGCTCTTTCGAATCATCGAATTTGTCAAGCGCGTGGTCGAACATGATTTCCAGGATTCTATTACATACATCTTTCGTCTGGTGAGTTACAAAGGAAACAGGTGCGTCTCCTTGTTGGAGTAAAGGGCAGGATCTAGGTTCCATGCTACTTTGGGGAAAGGGCAGTATTTTTGTGAGGTATGTCCAAGTTAGACAGAGCCGTTGAGGTGTATAGTGGCTTTCGAAATGTGGGAATGTTGGTGATGTTTATTCAAGCCTCTACAAGGACGGTAGCAAGTCAGAAGCACTGCTTACCCGAGTAATTACCGAGTGGATCAACCAAGAGTGCCATTCATGCCGGAGGTGAAACAACTAGATACTTCAGCAGTTCTAGGCTTACGAGGCTCAACCGTAGTTGGCAGCTAACTCTCGGGTAAAGGACAGAGCGGATAGACTGTGACTGTCCAAGGTAGTCTCGCCGAGCGAAATCCCGAGCATTCGCTCCCGGAAGACTCCTTACCGAGAAAGACCGGTTCCTTAAGCACGTCAGTGCATGAGACGTTTTATACTCTTCCAGTTATCCGACTCTTTTTCACTACTGGGCACTCGAGTTTGGGTGCAGTATCCGGTCCTCATATGGCTCAGATTCTCGCCTACACTCGCCCGTGTCTGGCTTGGTACGAAATGTACTGCATCAGCTCTAGTTCATCACAACACTTCTCCGCCGTTCTCCGGCACCATCCCAGCAAG